TCTGGAGACATTTTTGATTGTCACGATGTGGGGATGGGGCAGGGGAAGGTGCTCATGGCATGTAATGGCTAGAGGTCAGGGATGCTGCTAAGCATCCTACAATGCCCAGGACAGCCCCCATGACTAAACATGATCTGATCCCAAGTGCCAACAGTGTGGAGGCTAAGAAACCCAATTCTAGCCACATGCTGTTCTCTCTGCTGAAACACTTGTCCCTGCCTGCTCCCACTGGGAATTCCTGGGAGGAGTTCCAAGCCCCACTCAAACTTCTCCTCCTGCAGGAAGTCTTCCCTGACTGCCCCACTCCCCAGGCTTGGCCTATCCCTCTTGCCCTGCTCCACCTCCATTCCCACGCATGTGCGTTCCTCGCTAGAGGGCTCTCCTGGAAGGTCTCCCTGTCCTCGGTGTGCTGCAGCACGGTACCTGGAACTTGGGGAACTGAGGAAAAGAATGAGTGAAAAAAGCAAGACTATGAATTACCCATTCCTTCCAGGAAGGCCTCACTTCCATCCTCCGAGCGGGTGCTCCCTGCAGAGTGTCCCAACGGCATCTTGGCCAAAGCGGGAGGGGCTCCTGTAGGGGTGACACAGGACCCCTTTAGACAGCAAGCAGGAGAGGGCCGGAAGGAAGGTGGGGATGAACCGCGAGGGACTAGGAATTGGAAGGTGACCCCCGAATCAGCTCTGGCCTCTCTTTGAGTCTCAATTCCTCCAATGGGTTGGAGGGGGACACCTCTCAGGCCTCTCTCCACACCCCTCCTGACCTCCCACCTCTCATATTTTCTGTCTTGTGTTTCCACTCTGACTCGCGAGCGGGGGACAGGCCCCCTAAACTCTCAGTATTTCTGAGGCGTGGCTGTTTGTGGAGGGAGACACGAAGGAGGGGAAAACCCCGGCCGGCTGTGGGGAGCGAGGCCCGGTCCCTACCTGCTGGAGTGCTTGACCTGTCCTTGGTCCTCCAAACTCACTGTTGTGGCCTGGTTACTGGGGAGATAAAGGGCCAATGAGGCCTGACGACAGCGGCCGGGGTGGGACCGAGGCCTCCAGCAGGCGCCGCGGGAGGGGAGGCTGGGGAGGAGGGCCCGGGGCAGTCCGAAGACCAGAGGAAACCTCGGGGGCTGGGTACAGACGGACTGGGGGCGCCGGGAGCCCTGCGAGGGGCGGGGCTGGGAGAGCTTGCGGGGGCGGAGCTCTGAGCCTCGCGACGGACGGGGTGGGAGGGGCCTGTGAGAAGAGGGAGTGGGTGTGCCTTGAGGGGCGGGGCTTCAGCGCTTGAGAGGGCCCTGAGACCTGTAAGGAGCATGGTACCTGTGGAAGGAGGGGCTGCGGGGACTAGAGAGGGACCCAGCACCAGTATCCGTAAAGGGCGGGGCTGCGGGCCTTACGAGGGGTGGGGCAATGGGGGGGGCTGTCGAGGGGAGGGGCACGGGTACCTGCAAACGCCGGAGCTTCACGGACCTGCGAGGGGCGTGGGTAGAAGGCCCCTGGAGGGGCCTGGTGGGAGGGCGCTGGAAGGAGGTCTGGAAGACGCTAACGGGGAGCGAGGGGCTGTGAGGGGCGGGCTGTATGTTTTCGGGAGGGAGAGGCAGGAGCTGAAAGACCCTATGGAGCCAGGACTGGGAGAGAAACGTCTGGAAGGCTTTGGAGCTAGGCCGAGGTCCTTCGGGACGAGGCCCGAGAGACGTGTGTCTTAAGTTAAGACCACGTTATTTTGAAGATTCATTAGGAAGACCGTGCCGATGCCAGGAGTTGTGAGAGGGAGGAGAGCTCACCACCAACTCGGGGGGGGGGGGGTCCCCGCAGTGACTCACTACGCATGCGCGGCCAACGGCCTCCTGCGAAGCCTCTTGCAGGCTGGGTCCGCGTACTGAGAGGCGGAAGCGGGCGGGGCCGCGAGCTCTTCGTGCCGCCCCCGCCTGGCCACGCCCCCTCGCTCCGCAGGGCACGCCTTCTCGGCGGCAGGCTACTACTGCCCACGTGGGCCTCCCCGGAGCGGGCGGGCAGTGGGCGCAGCTCCCTGCAGGCTGGGTGTGCCTGAAGCCTGTGGTTTCCTGTGGGAGGAAGCAGCCCGCGGGCGCTCAGCTCGGCTCTTAGCGTTGGAGGCCCAGGAGGGGGAGATCCCGTTACCGCCCTCGGGCTCCCTGATTCTCCCCCTTCCGCAGGGTCCTAGCTTGAGGGAACTCCTACCACGCCCCGCCCCCCCCCCACCGCCGCCACATTCCCAGGGTACCCAAATTTGGCTCTGATTCCACTCAGGGAAGTTGATTTAGAGTCCTAGCCTCCTGTTTTCTATCTCCCCTCATTCACATTTCCATCTCCCTAGCCCCTGGTTTCCAGACTCCTTCCAGGGCCAGGTCTGGTCCGCTTTGCCTACACTCCATGAAAAGCACATGACCCTCCAGCCTCTAATTTTTCCTTCAGTGACCCAGACTTTCTAACTTCCTTGGGGTTCTGAATTCAGACGTCCCCAGTCTCTGTCCCCAGGGACCCTAATTTTGTACTCCTAACTCTAGCCTCGGGGCCCAGTGGACCCAAGAATTTTCCCCTTCCCCAAATCCTAGAGACCTTGAACTAGAGTCCCCCCATACTAAATCCATTCAGGGCCCCGGTGGTGGGTATAACAAGCACATACTATGTACTGGACACTACCCTATGATGTATTTACTATTATTATCCTTATTTCACAGATAAACTGAGGCATAGAGAGGTTATTAGTAACTTGTCCAAAATCACAGCGAATGAGTACAGCAGCTTGGATTTGAATCCAGTCCATATGCCTCTGTAGACTGCTGTACCGGTACCCAATTTCTGGATCTCCTGAGTACCTGCCTAGTCACTGAACTGCCTATCCCTCACCCCTCCAGGGAGCTGAGATGACCAACACTCTCCTTCCCCCTAGCTCTGGCCCCATCAAGATAACCAGACATCCCATCCTCCAGTTTCCTTCCCTTGCAAGAACCTAGGGATTAGGATTTCAGTCCTCCAACTCTCAATTCCATATCAGGACCCCAGACACCTGGTCCCCTGTCCCTCACTTTTTTTTTTTTAAGATTTTATTTATTTATTCATGAGAGACACACAGAGAGAGAAGCAGCCTCCCAAGGAGCAGGGAGCCCGATGTGGGACTCCATCCCAGGACCCTGGGATCATGACCTGAGCCGAAGGCAGACGCTTAACCGTCTGAGCCACCCAGGCGCCCTGTCCCTCACTTTTTACCAGCACCCAAACCTTCCAAGAGACCCATATATAGTAATCACATTCCACCCTGATTCAATAACTCAACAATAAGTACAATAAGTAATAATAATAATAGTAATAATGATAGTGAACACAAAGTCCCTGGTACTGCACTTCTGTTTAAAACCCTCCAGTGGCTTCTCACTGCCTGTAGAATAAAATCCAAACTCCTCCGGTAGTCTTCAAGGGCCCTCTTTGATTTCCCTTCCTACCACTCCCTCCAGCTCCCTCTATTCCAGCCACACTGGTCCTTCTGTGTGCTTTCCAAACAACCTGAGCTTGTTCTTGTGAGCCTCCAGCCTCGCATTTCCTCTTCCTCCAGCACTGAAATGACTCCTGTCCTCAGGGCTCAGCTCAGATGTCACCTCCCCACAGAGCCCTTGTCTGATCACCTTGTTTAAAGTAGCTTCCTCTCACACGTCTTTATCACCTCCACTCTATTTTATTTCCTGCAAAGCACTTAGCGACCCGTCTGAAATTTATCAACTTCACTGGTAGGTTTTCTCTTTATGGTCTGTCTGCCCCTCCTAGGAAAGTGAGCTCCATGATAACAGCAGGCGTCTGTTTTCTTTATTACGACCTCCCGTTTCATAATAGATGTTCAATAAATGTTTGATGAAGAAAGGAATGAACGTGTGGCTGCGTCAGTGTACCGGTATTACCGTATTCATTTTTTTAAAGATTTTATTTATTTATATGACAGAGAGAGAGAAAGAGCACACAAGCAGGGGGAACAGCAGTGGGAGAGGGAGAAGCAGGCTCTCCGCTGAGCAGGGAGCCCGATGCGGGGCTCGATCCCAGGACCCTGGGATCATGACCTGAGCCGAAGGCAGATGCTTAGCCGACTGAGCCACCCAGGCGCCCTACCTTATTCATTTAGAGTTAAGTATCTGAATTAGGACTACCACTATTAGTATATTGTCAATGTTATTAGTATTACTGTACCCATGTCACAGATGAGGAAAACGAGGCTCAGAGAGTTGAAATAATCAGTAGAGGCAGGAAATAATGGCACTGGCATCAACTTCCACCCCCTGTCCCTTTCCAGAATTTCACGTGTTCCCATTTTCCATCCCCTGACCCCCCACTGTGGGGCTATCTCCGCCCCCCCACCCCAGCTCTCAACCCACTCAACGCAGCAGGAATCTGGTCTGCTCCCCCAGACCCCCGTTCCTCAAAGGATCCAGTTCTAAGCCCCGTCAGGGAAAGCTGACATCCAGCCCCAGGACAAGACCCAGTCTGGAGGCCTGAGAATCGGGCCCTCCCTCTCCTCAATGCTTGCCCCACCCTGACTTCCTGGGCTTCAAGGACTTCTCATCTCAACGCTGGGAGGGAGCCCCAGAAGATGCCTGTCTGGGGGCAGTGGGTGGGAGCCCAGAGAAAGAGGAACCCAAGTGCCTAGTCCCTCCCTCTGGCGCAGATCTCAGCTGGGTGCGGTGGGAGTGGGTATAAAAGGGTCAGTATATATTGAGAGGAGCAGAGAGAAAAACCAGGGGAGAGAGAAGAGAGAGAAAGAAGGAGGTATAGGCAGTGAGGACTGGAGAGAGAGGGAAGAAAGGAGGGAGAGAGAGAGAGAGAGAGAAAGAGTTCCCGATTGGAGGGGAGAAGGAGGGAGAGAGCCAGAGGGGAGAGCGAGGGAGGGAGGGAGGGAGGG